TTTTTAGGGTAAGGATTTTAGAAAAAAGTATCGTCTTATAGTCGGAAAAATATGGTAATTCCTGTGATTTGGAAATCATGCTTCTCTTGATGCAACCTAAAAACACTTTTGCCTTTTCAGCAGCTGGGCCACACTGTTGATTCATATTCAGCTTGTGCTCATCAAAAATTCCAAGCTGCTCTTCATAAGTACTGTAGTCCTCATCCTATATCTGTAATCAAGAGCATTTGGAATTTTAGTTCTGTCTTTTAGAGCATTAACTATGCCAACTATTTTTGTATCATTAGCATATTTTATAAGCATTTGTTCATCTTCCTCATCTCTAATAAAAATATTGAAGAACGTAGAACCAAGGAATGAATATCATGGCATCACCCACTTGACATTTCCTGTTGGTTTGATGAGGAACCGTTGGTGAGCACTCTGAATATTATTTTCAAACCAGCTATGTATCCACTTAATTGTCTTGCCAACCAACCACACTTCACTAATTTACAAAGTAGAATATCATGGGATACTTTGAAAAATACTTTGCTGAAATTTAGATACATTACACTATAGTGTTCCTACAATCAACCCAGGAAGTTAAACCATTTTAGAAGATGAGGTACAGCTAGGCTGGCAAGACTTCCAAAAAGAAGGTGGGGGGCATGGGATTATCACCATAAAGGAGGCGATGTGTGGACTGTCCAATGGCTTCATTTAGATGTTAAAAAGTATAGTGAAGAAAACAGATCTGATGAGGGCAATGGCCGTAGAACTGAGCAACGATCCTCCAGCAGGTTCTTCTGAGTTTACTCAACCAGATAAGATTACAGTAGAATAATTGCACAAGTGCTTCTCCATGCCACCCTAGCAAAATCCCCTACTGGCCACATGCCCCAGAAAGATACAATAATCCATGGCACAAATGCTACTGAAAGGATCAGAGAAACCAGTTGGAATCTGTTCCCAGTCCAGTTCCTGGACTGCATTATTCACATAGCAATGAAGGGTATTTTTCTTCAAAATCCTAGCCTAAGCCTGTACTGGAAAATGTTTTGGAAGTTCTTTGCAAGAGTTAGTAGATATTTATAAAAATCATATATTTTGCTAATTGGCATTAAGAAAATCTGGGAAACAAAATTATGAATCCCATGTAGATAGCATTTTGCATTGCAACACTGGCATTATGTACAGGAACATCTGCACAGTGTATGGGCTGGACCCTCCCAAGTCCAGGCAGGTATTGGCCAATCAACCAGAGCATTGTGGTAGTAGACAAGGGCTAGAAGACAGCGGTGGTGATAGATGTAGCAGTGCCAAGTGACAGCAACTTCAGGAAGGAGTATGAGAAGCTGGAGAAGTACCAGGGCCTGAAGGAGGAACTAGAGAGGATATGGAAAGTAAAAGGCAAAGTGGTCGCAGTAGTGGTAAGAGCACTCAAGGCTGTGACTGGGAGAGTGACTCCAATAGATCCCAGGAACAACATCAGGGCTCTCTGTCCAGAAGAGTGCAGTGCTAGAAACAGCTAAGATACTGCGCAGAACCCTCAAACTCCCAGGCCTCTGGTAGAGGACATGAAATTGAGGAAGACACATACCACCCATAGGAGTGAGAGGGAATTTTATACATCAGATTTAATTTCATACTAGATATCTTTTCATAAAATGCTGTATCAAACCAAGATGTCCTGGTTCCCATAGCAACACATCCTTTTTCTCTTCTCCCTGATTTTCAAATAGTAGATCAGAAAGAATTGAAATGCTGTATACACTGACAATTTTACATATGATTTCCTTCATCTTATCACTCTTTAAAAGCATGCACATGTTTTAAAATGAGATTTTCAGCCATGTAAGTAAAATCTGCTCTTTAATACTTGACAAATTCTAATTGCTGTTAATTCTACATGTTAAACATTGATAATTGAAATTTGTTAATTAAAACTTTGATCTTTTGTTTCAATTTATCCCAATTTATGAATGTTAATTAAGACTTTGATCTTTTGATTATCCCGATTTATGAACATATTAGAAAACATATATTAAATCAGGCTTTGATCTTACAAGACAGGAAAGGCAAGTGTGTCCTTTAAATATCTATATCTATATCTAAATATCTGTATCTGTAAACTTTTCTTCCTTGCATTTAATTTAAGAATAAAGTGCTTTAATTGAATGTTGTCATAAAATGAGGAAACAGTAGACCCAGTTTAGGAGACTTGAAATGTACTAAATAGTAGACTTCATTGCCAGCATCAAGACATGTCTCAGTTTTGATATAGAAGCTTTCATCAGAATCTGAACATAACAATTAGATGTTCAAACTCCAAGTATAGATGCAAACTCAGTGTTTTAAGGAGTATAGTAATAAGCACTAAGCACTCCTGTTTCTTTGGAAAGGTCAGGACACAATAGAAATAGCTGTATCTAACTAATTGGACCATAATTGGAAGAATATTTCCTGTGCATTAATAAGTTACCAGATATACTGTAGCAATTATAGCTCACAGCCATTACTAAGATTGTCTCCAGGAAAACTGCCTAAATTTTCCAGCAGTGATATCATCTTGCACTGAAGTTCATAAATTGATGTTGTTTAGTGTTTGTCTCAAGTCTATCCTAATACATTTAAGTTGGTGGAAGTCAAGTTCTGCTGCTATGTGAAAGGGAGGAATTTCCTCCTGCTAGCCAGAGATCTATCAGCAGAATCCTCCTGCTTGACATGTTTCCTGCATCTTGATCAAGGAATCAGAAAAGAATACAGAAAGGACACAGTAAGGGAATAACGTTTAAATGTTTCAGGGACCAGGCAGAGGTAAAGTAGGCTGAAGGTATTCCTAATGTCCAACACATTGAATCCAAAGAGAGCACCCAAAAACAACTTTCTAATCTTTTCCCTTTCAGTTGCCTATGACACTGACATACAATGCAGCACAATGTCAGTGAGCCTGCTATCAGGTCTGCCAGCTGCTAGCCATTTTGACCATTCAGGATGCTTAGTCACTAGAAGATGGGGTTGACGAGAGAGAGAGAGAGAACAGTATCCAGGAAGATACTGTTATATTAACCAGAGAAGTGACAATTTGGGCCCGAAATCTGCTCAAGACAGTACCAGCATGTACTGAGAATGTAAGATAATGTATCACTAAGTTCTGCAGATTAGCAGAACTGATGTCAGATTCAGTTCTGGATGCCCTACATTATACTGCCAGAGCTACAAAAAAAGATCAGTAATAAAATCCATTGAAACAGAATCTCAAGATCCCAGCAGGGAAGGTAGTGGTTGAAGTAAGCCAGTCAGCCTTGCAGAGACAGTCTTTGCCCAGCAACAAACAAGTTAACATGAAACATGTTTGACAACTGCTTTCCTCTTCAGCCACCAGAACTAAGCACCTGATGCAAATTTTAAACAATCCCCTATGTCCAGTTCTATTGTCATGGCAGAGTTGCAATATCCCTTCCTTAAAGAACATATAAATGGCCATTGTGAAGCAACCATTCATTAGTCATAGAGGAAGGAATCAGTTTGAAGCTCTGATGTATGAATCTTGTTGCTGCAATCTAATCCAATTTAGCAAATCTACTGCCTTCCTCCATGTCCCCAATCTTTCTGGGGGTTCTAATCTTTGGGGAGGAGCAAGGTTGCATTTAATGTTAGGGAGAGATGAGTGTGGAAGATCATATTCAGATTTATGTGATAGTGCATCTATTGTAGTTTGTTTGGTGAGCCAAATATATGTGATATAAACACTGAAGCAGGAGAAAAACTGTGCCCACCTGAACTAAATGAGGTGTGATGGATCATACTTTCTGCAGGTGTTCCAAATTCTTGTGTTGCTGCATACTTGCACAGGCTGATTTCTCTGAGAAATATCTCCACTGTTGGAACTCTCTTATAGCAAGCAATGCTTTATTGAAAAAAATAATAATCAAGGAGCACAAAGATGGATGCACTACCCTGTCCCGGCTCTGCCAAAGGACACTGACAAGTCCAACCAAAGCTGTCTCCATACTATACCCGAGTCTGAAACCCAAATGAAATAGTTCTAGATAATCTAAGGTCCTTTAGGTTATGAGGTAGTCAATTCTAGTTGGACATCAGAAAAAAAAATCCTAACAGTAGGCACTATTTGATAATAGAACAGGCTGCCTCAGGAGGTATCCTTTGCTAGAGATGTTTAAACGCAGGCAGAATTACAATCGTTCAGGATGCTATAGCATAGAATTCCTGTGCTAGGCAGCAGACTGGAACAGGTAATTTCTAAGGTACCTTCCAACATACTATGATTCTAAGAAATTCTTTGTTTTATATAATTCTTGAAAGTATCTGAGAAAGCAACACCTGGGCAGGCATTCTTTATGATGTAAAAGACTGGAGTTTCAGAAACAGATGGCTCATAACTAAAAATAACTAACCATCACAGTACTTTTTATATAACTTTCCTTCATAGAGTTTGTATTAATTTCAGACTGCTTTCTTTGTATTCACTTGGAAGCTTTGCTGAGTTCAGTAAATTTTATTCAAGTAAATATACATAGACTCAAGTTTTGGTTCAGTACATACAGCCACAAACATCAATGTGATATACACATAATATGAATTGTTAATAGCCCAGAAGTGGATTATTCAGATACACAAAGTTTGGAAGGAAAGTATTTGTTGTATAGGTATGTGTACATTTTTACCTTTTTATTCATTCTTCGTCCAAGAAGATGGAAGTACAGCATCCTTCATGCTGCATCTGATGCATTTCAAGACTGTGAAAATTTAATGGTCAGTCTCCTTTCTTATAGGCTGGAATACAACTCACAATATTTTATTCATGCTGGCTAAGACCTACAAGAATTGCACTACAATACATCTACATTGCAACAACCCTCCCACCTGCTTAATACTTAAGCAATTATAGAACATATTCTCATTTTATTATAAGCAATTAAAATAGTATATAGTCCACTTTCCATAAAGCACTCAGAGCAGAGGTGTATGGATGTTATATTATGTCATCTCCTACGCAGTGTTTTTCATGACTTCCTCTTCCCCTTGGAGGGGAAGTGGGGGGGGGGAGTCAAACACACATTTTTCCAACTTAGCAAAAAGCTTGTCTAAATGGAGTTGCTCTAAGTCACTCTTAATGTGAGTCTTGTGCAAAGATGGTTCTTCTGAAACCCAAGTACACCACTACATATCTGT